AGGATGATGATATGTATTCTGATCGACATGCTCTTATCGTGCCTCCTTCGACGGGATATGGGAATCGAGTCCATCCTGCGCCGTTTACGGATTCTTCTGCGCCTCGTATGTCTTTACTTTATTATGATTCCTACCATTTTGTTCTTGTATGAATATATTCACCTTGTAATGAGTTATGATGATATGGTTTTGTTTGTTGCTTACAGAACAGGCAAGATCGATGGTCCCTCAGAAGAATATTGCGGAATATGGATATGGAAGTGTTGCTTGGAAAGATAGAATGGAAGTGTGGAAGAAACGACAAGGCGAAAAGCTTCAGGTCGTTAACCATGAAGGTGGGAACGATGGTCGGGGTCTCAGTGATGACGACGAGCTGGATGATCCTGACATGCCTATGTAAGTTTAAAACCTTAAACACAATGCTGAGATTTTTGTATTCAACGGTTTTTGTGTTCTAATTGGATGATGTTTTTAACATTTTGGTGGTAAAATCAGGATGGATGAAGGAAGAAAGCCTCTCTCAAGAAAGCTACCGATTCGATCAAGCAGGATAAATCCTTATAGGATGTTGATTCTGTGTCGGCTCGGGATTCTTTGTCTTTTCTTCCACTATAGAATCCTGCATCCAGTAAACGATGCATATGGATTATGGTTAACGTCAGTTATATGTGAAATATGGTTCGCCGTATCTTGGATTCTTGATCAGTTCCCCAAATGGTATCCTATACAACGCGAAACATACCTCGACAGGCTCTCTCTCAGGTATATACATACATAACCATAAAAAAGACTTATTCTCTTCTTATTATCTTAGAATTTTGTAACAATCCAAGTGATTTTGAAAACTCTCTCTCTCTCTCTCTCTCTCTCTCTCTCTCTCTCTCTCTCTCTGTCTGTCTTTTACATTAGGTACGAGAAGGAAGGAAAACCGTCGGGATTAGCACCTGTTGATGTTTTTGTGAGTACAGTGGATCCGTTGAAAGAGCCACCGTTGATCACAGCCAACACTGTTCTCTCGATTCTAGCCGTTGACTATCCCGTGGATAAGGTTGCGTGTTATGTATCAGATGATGGAGCTGCGATGCTTACCTTTGAAGCTCTTTCTGACACAGCCGAGTTTGCTAGAAAATGGGTTCCCTTCTGTAAGAAGTTCAATATCGAGCCACGAGCTCCCGAGTGGTATTTTTGCCAGAAGATGGATTATCTGAAGAATAAAGTTCATCCTTCATTTGTCAGGGAACGTCGAGCTATGAAGGTTTTCATTGATGCTTTTCCGAGTATGTCCGACAATAAAGGGTTTTGTTCCCAAGAATCTAGTTTATGGATCTTTTTGTTTGTTTGTTGTAGAGAGAGTATGAGGAGTTTAAGGTGAAGATAAATGCATTGGTTGCTACAGCACAGAAAGTGCCTGAGGAAGGTTGGACTATGCAAGATGGAACTCCTTGGCCTGGAAACAATGTCCGAGACCATCCCGGAATGATTCAGGTAATCTCTCTTCTTCTTCTTCTTCTTCTTCTTCTTCTTCTTCTTCTTCTTCTTATTAATACTTCGGATACGGAAAAAGTTGAAACCGACATTCAAAAATTGGCAGGTGTTCTTGGGACACAGCGGAGTTCGTGATACGGATGGAAATGAGTTACCACGCCTAGTCTATGTTTCTCGTGAGAAGCGTCCTGGATTTGAGCATCATAAGAAAGCTGGAGCTATGAACTCTTTGGTAAGGATGAATCTGTTTCTTTCGTTTTATTTGATAACTTTTCGTAAACTAAAACTCATTTTGTACTCTTTCTTGAAGATCCGAGTCTCTGCTGTTCTATCAAACGCTCCTTACCTGCTAAACGTCGATTGTGATCACTACATCAACAACAGCAAGGCAATTAGGGAAGCCATGTGTTTCATGATGGATCCGCAATCCGGAAAGAAAGTTTGTTATGTTCAGTTTCCTCAGAGATTCGACGGGATTGATAGACATGATCGATACTCAAATCGCAACGTGGTCTTCTTCGATGTATGTGTCCTTGTGTCTTTTGCTCTGTTCTGTTATTGTTCTTACTTCTCTCCCTCCTTTCTCATTTGATCGTTTTTTTTTTGGCGTGTGAAAACAGATTAACATGAAAGGTCTTGATGGGATACAAGGACCGATATACGTCGGGACAGGTTGTGTCTTTAGAAGACAAGCTCTGTACGGTTTTGATGCACCAAAGAAGAAGAAACCACCAGGCAAGACCTGTAACTGCTGGCCTAAATGGTGCTGTTTGTGTTGTGGGTTGAGAAAGAAGAGTAAAACAAAGGCTAAAGATAAGAAACAGAACCCTAAAGAGACTTCAAAGCAGATTCATGCTCTAGAGAACATCGAAGAAGGTGCCGTCGTTGCAGGTAAAAAAAGAGAACACATTTATCGTTTGGTGTCTGTCTTGTGGAAAGTCTATAGACTAAATAGCTGCTTTTGATTGTTAGTGTCAAATGTTGTGAAGAGATCTGAAACAACACAGCTGAAACTGGAGAAGAAATTTGGACAATCTCCGGTTTTCGTCGCCTCTGCTGTTCTACAAGACGGTGGAGTTCCTCGTAACGCAAGCCCCGCCTGTTTGTTGAGAGAAGCCATTCAAGTGATTAGCTGCGGATACGAAGATAAAACCGAATGGGGAAAAGAGGTGAAAACATTACAAAGTTTTAGACTTGTAAGAAAGTTACAAAAGTTCTTGTGTGATCTCATTTTGCTTATAATTTACACGCAGATTGGGTGGATTTATGGATCGGTGACTGAAGATATCTTGACGGGTTTCAAGATGCATTGCCATGGATGGAGATCTGTCTACTGTATGCCGAAGCGTGCAGCTTTTAAAGGATCTGCTCCAATCAACTTGTCGGATCGTCTTCATCAAGTTCTACGTTGGGCTCTTGGCTCCGTAGAGATCTTCTTGAGCAGACATTGTCCGATATGGTATGGTTATGGTGGTGGGTTAAAATGGTTGGAGAGATTCTCTTACATCAACTCTGTTGTCTACCCATGGACTTCACTTCCACTCATCGTCTACTGTTCTCTCCCGGCGGTCTGTTTACTCACCGGAAAATTCATCGTCCCCGAGGTACTACAATCATACACAACCTCTGCATCTTCAACATTATCATCCATGGCTTTAGTAACACTAAATATTACTGTTTTATGTTTTACTTTGACAGATAAGCAACTACGCAGGTATTCTCTTTATGCTCATGTTCATATCCATAGCAGTAACTGGAATCCTCGAAATGCAATGGGGAGGTGTTGGAATCGACGATTGGTGGAGAAACGAGCAGTTTTGGGTAATCGGAGGGGCCTCTTCGCATCTGTTTGCTCTGTTTCAAGGTTTGCTCAAAGTTCTCGCTGGAGTTAACACGAATTTCACAGTCACGTCAAAAGCAGCAGACGATGGAGCTTTCTCCGAGCTTTACATCTTCAAATGGACAACTTTGTTGATTCCCCCGACAACACTTTTGATCATAAACATCATCGGAGTTATTGTCGGTGTTTCGGACGCAATCAGCAATGGTTATGACTCTTGGGGACCTCTCTTTGGGAGACTGTTCTTCGCTCTTTGGGTCATTGTTCATTTGTACCCATTCCTCAAGGGATTGCTTGGGAAACAAGATAGAATGCCTACGATTATTCTGGTTTGGTCTATTCTTCTTGCTTCGATCTTGACGCTCTTGTGGGTTAGAGTTAATCCGTTTGTGGCTAAAGGTGGACCAGTGTTGGAGATTTGTGGCCTAAACTGTGGGAACTAAGCTCTGTAATAAGAAAACAGGATTTTTCATGGTGAAGATTCGAAGAGAAGAAGCACAGAAACAGAAAGGAGTAAAGGAGTTTGTGTGGATGCGCTTTGGAAGCATATGTGTTGATGATGATTACATTGTACTGTTTTGGTGGTTGTTGTAGACAAAAAGATGTGCAGTTTTTACGACTTTTCTTTTCCTTTTTTGTCCCTCTCTAAATTAATTCTTTTATTATAATGTTATACCGATAGAGTTGTTTGCATCTTCATATTTCATGTACCTTTTTAGTTATTGATTGTATGATCTGATAATAAATAATCATATACTTTGGTAATAGTGGATGTTAGTGTTTTCAAAACTTAAAAACTCTGTTAAAGCATTCTTCACATTTTTTTTGCTAATTAGTAAAATAAATTAAACATTTTCTGATAAAATAATCAATAGACCAGATACTTGACAAAAATAGACTGCCTCTTGCAATATGATTAGTCAAATACAATTGTGATTAATTGATATAAGGGGGAAAAAAAAGCTAGTGGCGTTATGGTAACAAAAGAAAGAATTAAGGTCATGGTAGAAAAGCTCCGAACGGTAATTCAGTTCGATTTACTTTAACCGGATCGAACGCCTGCAAAGCCACCGCATGTCCCGCAATGGATGAGGCTACGATTGAGATGGCTACACGTGGAATGAAGCATAGGCCCCCCCAAGACGTGTTTATTCCTTATCGATACCGGAATGGCTTTGCATGGACCCCACCAAATCGTATAATTGAAGTCAAACACAGACATAGACACGGGAGTCGTTGGATCAAGCAATACAAAAAAATGTTAAAGTCGGTCACTAACTTTGACGGTTCAGATCAAGTAGTTAAAATACACCCGGTTACAGACGATTAGCCGTGGTTTATCAACTTTAATATTTATATTATCTGAAAGTGCAAATTTTTTAGAAGACACGTTCCTCTTGCAAACCGACATTATTGTAATTTCCTTTTCTTTGTGCTAAAGAGTTTCCTTTTTTTTGGTTAATAAATGTTAGTTTCCTTTTTTCCTTCTGGTTTAATAGTTTTCCTTTTTTCTTTTTCTTGTAGTATATAAAAGACGACAAAACATGATGAAACACAACAAAAAAACAACACACACCTAAACTTGATCAGAGTGGTCAAAAGGAAGACGAGCATCTAATTAAGGATTTTGTCATTTTCGATATTAGTTATTTGAAAACGTTTCAATCCATTTCGAATGGAGGTGATTGGTTTTTCGGGAGAAACAGAGATTGCGTTTTCGGAGACGGAGATGGAAGCGGCGGAGCAGCTAGTGCAGTTGAGCGAAGAGGATACGATGAGCTGTAGTAGCGGTTCAGGCTGGAGCGTTTCCGGTTGCGGCGGTTCTGAAGGAGGAGGCAATACGAAGAAAAAAGAAGATGTTGTTAGTTCGGAGATTCATGACATGGTCGGAAAAGAACGAAACGACGGCGTACGGATGATGGATGAGAATGTTAAGGACGGACGGAGTTTTATGAGGGCGATCATGGAGACGAAGACGAGGAGGATTAAGAAAAAGAAGTTTCGGTCTCTCGCGAGTATCTACAGAGCGACCAAGGAAATGACGAGAGATTAGTTGATTAGTCGAATGGGATGGCTAATTACGTTTTAATGACGTTGGTTAAAAGGCGTGTGTTAAATACTTAGATGTCATCGTTTTCCATGATTTTGGTATGTAATGTCCATTAGCGTTGAACCAGAAGAAGGTGCTAGAAGAATTTAAACATGTTGCTTTTCCAAGTTGGAGCTAATTAAAATTAAGTTGACTTGTTTGACAAATTCCCTCTTCTAAATGGAACTGATATAAAAGCACGAAAATTCATTCTCAGTTACAACAATAGTGTTCCAAATTTTGTTGTTGTTAGTTTGATATTATGCTCCTTTTTTTCTTTTTTCGGTAGCAACTTAAAAATAATAACCATGAGATTAAGATCAAAATTAATACTAATTTCCGAAGTTTGCGAATAGCCAAAAAATATTTAATTTCGAAACACAATAGTCAATAGGAGAGTTGAGAGAGCAGTTCCACATTTCCCTCGGTGAATAATTTTTACCACTGAAAGCTTGAAAATTGTATATTTTACTCCGACAAGTTAACAATGTCGATGAACGATTCATTGGGCGTCGATACCAAGACGTCAATGTGTCTCCAGCAAAATCAAATTTCAATGAGATATACAATTTTCTTCCGTAGATTATGAATCTCACAAGTAAATTTCTTTTTTAATAAATGATATAAATTATTTACAGTTTAATAATATAGTTGAGTATGTGCGAACAATTGGGTTGGGTCTCATTAGCTGGCCCACATTCAGCGAGGTAAATGGTTCAAAGTGGTTAAAGTAATTTACCCGCCACTTGACATACAAGCCCTTTCTTCTTCCTTCCCTCGGAAGCTGGCGGGAAAACCTGAAATTTCGCGCGGGGGAAAATAGTCAAAATTCGCCATTAAAGAAGAAAAAAAAGCAGATGAAAATCACAAGGAGCCCTAGGAAATTTCGAAACTCGAAATCAAAAGCCCATTTGTGCCTTCCTTTACTCAGTCTATTTAACATTGGGTTCGACGCTCCCTCTTCTCATCATCAGACTCACACGCCTACAAACTGTTCGACAGAATTCTTCTGAGGGAAAATGTACGTCGTGAAGCGTGACGGAAAGCAGGAAACTGTTCACTTCGACAAAATCACCGCGCGGCTAAAGAAGCTTAGTTATGGGCTTAGTAGCGATCACTGTGACCCTGTCCTCGTCGCCCAGAAAGTCTGTGCCGGTGTCTACAAAGGCGTCACCACGAGTCAACTCGACGAGTTGGCCGCCGAGACTGCTGCCGCTATGACGGCCAACCATCCTGATTACGCCTCCGTGAGTTTCCCCTTCGATCTTAGATCCATTTCCCCCATTTATCTTCTGCCATCTACTCTTGCTGGGTTTCTTAATTTGATTAATTAGTCTCCGATTTACGTTTTAATTGCGGAGAATCGAAAGCCCATGTTCAATCATACGGGATCGCATCTTGCTCATATGATTGTTGCCTTGCCTGATTGATGTTTACGCGTAGAGAAATGTTTTTATGAACTGCCTTGAACTTTTTGATTCTTTCAGTTTTAGAATAGTTTGAAAACTGAACAGTAGTTTAACATATTTCAATGTTTATATTCCAGTTGGCTGCGAGGATCGCTGTCTCAAATCTCCACAAGAATACTAAGAAATCGTTTTCCGAGACGTGAGTGTTTTTTTTTTTAAATCTATATTGTATCCTCTGGCCATATCAGTGATTAAGCAGTCACAAAAGTTGACGTCTATGGTTTTTTGGGTACCTTCAGGATTAAGGACATGTACAGTCATGTCAACGAGAGATCTGGACTCGAGGCTCCTCTAATTGCTGATGATGTATTTGAGTTAATCATGGAGGTTAGCTTTTTACGAGGATGCAGATGGAAAATTTAGCTTAGAGAATTTACTCATCTTTTTCTTGACGTGTGTTGTCTTTTGGTAATTTCAGAATGCCACTCGCCTGGACAGTGAAATCATCTATGATCGCGATTTCGAATATGACTACTTTGGGTTCAAAACTCTTGAGAGATCATACCTCTTAAAAGTCCATGGAAAAGTAGTTGAAAGGCCTCAACACATGCTGATGAGGGTTTCTGTCGGCATCCACAAGGAAGACATTGAGTCCGCAATCGAAACTTACCATTTGATGTCTCAGCGATGGTTCACTCATGCATCTCCTACTCTCTTCAATTCCGGAACTCCAAGGGCTCAAGTAATGTACCTTTACTTCTGTTTAACCGAAACCTGCATCTACATTCTTTCTACTGATGTGCTGGTTGCAAATGTTTGAATTTTGCAGCTGAGCAGCTGCTTCCTGATCTGTATGAAGGATGATAGCATCGAGGGAATATATGATACATTGAAAGAATGTGCTGTTATCAGCAAATCGGCTGGGGGTATTGGCGTTTCAATTCACAACATCCGTGCAACTGGAAGTTACATTCGTGGCACAAATGGAGCATCTAATGGTATTGTTCCAATGTTGCGGGTATTCAATGATACTGCTCGCTATGTTGATCAAGGAGGAGGCAAGAGAAAGGGTATACATTGCTACTACTATCAATGATTGTTTTTGAAGTTATTTTCAATTCAGTTATTCTTATGTGTATATTTCTTTTGCAATTGGTTTTAGGAGCCTTTGCTGTATACTTGGAGCCATGGCATGCTGACATTTTTGATTTTCTCGAACTCCGGAAGAATCATGGGAAGGTACAAGCGCGATATCACTCTCTTTCCGTACAACGTTATCTGGAGTTTGTTTGATACACTCTCACATTACATTTTCCTCTTTCTATTACAGGAAGAACACAGAGCTAGAGACTTGTTTTATGGTCTTTGGATCCCGGATCTTTTCATGGAGAGGGTCCAGAGTGATGGGAAGTGGTCACTGTTTTGTCCTAATGAAGCTCCAGGTCTTGCGGATTGTTGGGGTGCAGAATTTGAGAGATTGTACACTCAGTATGAGAACGAGGTGAGTGATTTCATCTTTAGGCTTTACTGCTACTTTCAAAATTCAAACTCTTGCTATCATAATACCATCTATGCTCCTTTTTTCTACAGATGTGAATCAACTCTGTTTGTTTTGATCTTTAGGGAAAGGCTAAGAAGGTTGTCCAGGCACAGCAGCTCTGGTACGAAATCTTGACATCTCAAGTAGAAACTGGGACGCCATACATGCTTTTCAAGGTAAGAAACAGTCTTATTTATGTAGCCAAAACAGTCTTATTTTTGTAGCCACTCGGTATAATTATATAACCTCAGGTTCTCACTCTAGATTTTTGAAAATCTGCTGTAGGATTCATGTAACAGGAAAAGCAATCAGCAAAATCTGGGTACCATAAAGTCTTCCAATTTATGCACTGAAATCATTGAATACACAAGTCCAACAGAAACTGCTGTGTGTAATCTTGCATCTATTGCTTTACCCCGATTCGTAAGGGAGAAGGTGAGTTGAAAAAGGGGATTCAGTATTTTGATTTTGCTGTGTCACTTAGTGCATAACTCTTGACATTTCTTACATCTGACAACAGGATGTCCCCTTGGACGCACATCCATCAAAGATTGTAGGCAGTTTGGGCTCGAAGAATCGTTATTTTGATTTCGATAAGTTAGCAGAGGTCAGCACTTAACTATTTGGCTCATATTGATAAGTTTCCATGTCTTGCAATTTGATGTTGACCTTTTTTCAAATTATTCTGTGTCATTCAGGTGACTGCAACCGTTACTGTGAATCTCAATAAGATAATAGATGTGAATCACTATCCAGTGGAGACCGCCAAAACTTCAAACATGCGTCATAGGCCTATCGGTATTGGTATACAAGGACTTGCAGATGCATTTATCCTACTCGGAATGCCATTTGATTCCCCTGAGGTACGCTTCCTTCGCATAAGTTAATCAACCTTTCAAAATAGTTTTGTTCTCTGGTCTGAGCAGTTTTTTGCAATATTCTCAGGCTCAACAGCTGAACAAAGACATATTTGAAACGATATACTACCATGCACTCAAGTCATCTTCAGAGATTGCTACTAAGGAAGGTACATATGAGACATACCAAGGAAGTCCGGTGAGTAAGGTATGTATCACAATTCACAACCAGCAAGTCTTTCTATGTTTGTACAACACTTTAATCAATTCTTGTTCCTAATTATTTGGTATTCTTTCAGGGAATTCTTCAACCTGATATGTGGAATGTAATTCCTTCGGACCGCTGGGACTGGGCTGCTCTCAGGGATATGATTTCAAAGAATGGTATCAGAAATTCTCTTCTAGTGGCACCAATGCCAACTGCTTCAACCAGCCAGATTCTTGGGAATAATGAATGTTTCGAACCGTATACCTCAAACATTTACAGTCGTAGAGTCTTGAGGTATGTTCTTGAAGCGAATAAAATTGCTCCACAAAGTAAAGTTATATTTCTGTTTTCTCCATAGTCTTGATCATTGGTCTCCGTTGTATTTTCAGCGGCGAATTCGTAGTAGTGAACAAGCATCTTCTTCACGACTTGACTGATATGGGACTCTGGTCTCCTACGCTGAAAAACAAGATAATATATGAGAATGGTTCTATCGTAAATGTTCCAGAGATACCCGATGACTTGAAAGCGATTTACAGGTATATAATTTCCTTGTTCTTTTGTGCTCTGATTCTCTGTGTTCATAATTACTTAACCTGTGTGCCCACGTGCAAAATGACTCAGGACTGTCTGGGAGATTAAGCAGAGAACAGTGGTTGACATGGCCGTTGATCGTGGATGCTTTATAGATCAAAGCCAAAGTCTGAATATACACATGGACAAACCAAACTTTGCAAAACTCACTTCCTTACACTTCCACACTTGGAAAAAGGTAACAACTTATCTTGAATACTTAATGGTAAATATGATTGCATCACATCTACACTTGTTAGTAGGAATGTTCATAAATCTATCTAATGCGATTGCATTGCTTCATGAAACTCACTTCCTCGTAATTAGTCTTTGATTTGTGGTATGACCCGATCTCACAATTGTTATCGTTTGCGAATACCTGAAGGGTTTGAAAACTGGAATGTACTACCTGCGATCACGTGCTGCAGCAGATGCGATTAAGTTCACAGTAGACACAGCAATGCTAAAGGTAAACACAACACTTCGGGTCTTTGTCTGTATTTACAGTACTTGGACAAGCTAAATTGACATTTGCATGTGATGCAGGAGAAGTCTATTGTAACCGAAGAAGGAACAAAAGAAGAAGAAGACAATGAGACGAAGATGGCACAGATGGTTTGCTCATTAACAAACCCTGAGGAGTGTCTCTCTTGTGGAAGTTAAAGCACCAACAGTTGAAAGTTGATCCAAAAGCGCCAGTTTCTTTTACCCTTTTTGTATAGTCTTAACTTTACGTGTCTCTCACGTGGACATTTTAAGTGGAGACCCCACTCAACCTGAATTTCATCATTCATTTTTCAGTAAGTTGAACCATCTTCAAACGCTCCCTTTAAACTTGTTTTTTCCAATACATCTTAGTCATTATAACTTGATTCAACCTGAAGACTTCCTTGAAGCTGCCCCTTGAAAAATTTTAAACTCAGCTCTAATCTTGACAATTTCAATCTACACATTGCTTGTCCAATCATCAATGAATCAGACATAAAAACTCAATATTCTGTAACAATGGGCTGTGTATTATAACTATAAAAACTCTTTTATCTTGTTGATAACCCCGTACTAATTTCATTGTTATCTACAGATTTGGGCATGTATACTTGATGCTCTTGTTAGTGAAATCCAGTTGTGAGAACAAATAACAATCGGTGATCATGATAGCGAAAGCAAGTTGTGTGAGTCATTAACAATCACTGACATTGGAATTAATGTCAGACGTGTACATTTTGTCAGAAATTTCATTACGTATACATTTTCTTAGAACTTGTAATCGAAGCAATGTAATCATCTATATTTATTTAACCTTCATGAATATATTTATATGATTTCGAATTTGTCATCTCTTTTTATTCCGACATTTATAGTTTATTGAAGCGAATTTTTTTGTCGAAATAAAAATAAGAGACTTCTCTGTTAATGGGAAAAAAACAAGAGACTTAGTGATCCTTAGAGAGAAAATAATTTTACAGTTTAAGAAAATAATTTGTATATTTAGTTTACATAGAAAAAAAAAGAAACTAAATTCATAATGAAATACAGTGTTATTGGTTTTTGTATTTTAATGGATTTGAGAATCCAAACCAAATTCAGTGTTATTGGTTCTTGTATTTTAAAATTTATATTGAAATACAGTGTTATTGGTTCTATGATTTTAAAATTCATAATGAAATACAGTGTTATTGGTTCTATCATTTTAGAATCTAAATATTATAAGGATTTGAGTTTTAATTGAATTTGAATGGATTTGGAAGGATTTTCATGACTAAAATACAAAGACCCAAATACAAGATCTAAACTTGGTATTTGAGTGGATTTGATTTTTTTCTATTTTGTTGATTTTAAAATCAATAAATTTATCAAATCTAAAGAAGATTTATAAATTCACCAAAATACAAGAACCAATAATCCTACAAAAAAGAAAAGTTAGAAACATTATTTATATGTGTTTTTGTAACAATGGGCTACGTATTAACATATTTTAATATTCTGTAAAAAGAAAAAATATTTGAATACTCAGCCCAAGTAAAGGAAATACAGCCCATTATTACTACATTACTAAGACTAATCTCGATTGTTCTACGATGATGCACCGAACTAAGCTTGAAAACGCAGAAAAGGAAAAATATCGGTAGATCTAAGCCGTCCATCGCGTCAGCAAGACCAAAACCCTAATCATCGGACGCCTCTCTTGTCGTTATATAAATACTTCATCCTCTCGATGTCCTCCAAAAATCCACCGAAAACCTTTGAATCTTAGTCTCTGATTTTTCTTGTTCGTCTGTCTAATATCGTCTCATTGATTTTTGTATTGTCCATTAGAATTTATCGATTTTGCTAGGAGTAGAACTAGAATTCGCTAAGAGTGTTTTTTTTTAATAGTTTTGTGTTGATGATGATAACTCCAAAGGCTTGTTTCTCAAAACATTCGCAGTGGCCGCCTAAGAGCTTTCGCCTTTCGCCAGGCTTGAGAGTTAATGCTGCTTTTTTCCTTCCTTGGATGTCTGAAACTTATTAGCTTTGAATCTAGCCTCCATTGTTTTATTGTGCTTTGTGATTTTAGATCTGGGACTTAGTTTGTATTGTCCACATAGTAGCAGAAGCGATTTCTTAGTGCTATAGGATTGAACAAAGTCCCTCATATCTTACTCCATCTGTTTCACTTTGTCAGCAGTCTTTATTGGTTTCTCGCTGATCATTTCAGGATGGGAAATGTTTTTCTTAGGTTTTTGAGTTTCGTGTTTGGTCGATGATGATAACACATGAAGGCTTGTTTCTCAAAACATTCGCAGTGGCCGCCTAAGGCTTTCGCCTTTCGCCGGGCTTGAGAGCTTATGATGTTTGTTATCCTTCCTTGGATGTCTGAGACCATTTCGAAAGTTTATATTTTTTCGTCTAATCTTTATTGTTTTGTGGTTTTGTGATCGGTTGATGAGGATTACCGTAAGGCTTGTTTCTCAAAACATTCGCAGTGGCCGCCTAAAGCTTTCGCCTTTCGCCAGGCTTGAGAGTTGATGCAGCTTTTTATCCTTCCTTGGATGTCTGAAACCGACCCCAAAAAATCAAATTTGTATAGTATGTGTATTTTGTATAACAGAGATCTATGACGATAAACTTTAAGGCTAGTTTCTCAAAACATTCGCAGTTGCCGCCTAAAGCTTTCGCCTTTCGCCGGGCTTGAGAGCTTATGATGTTTTTATCCTTCCTTGGATGTCTGAGATCTCTCTTTTCACTCGATATGTCTGATTAGGTTTTGTTGTATTATGATCATTCCTTTTTTCATATCTGTTATGAATATTGCAGGTGTTTCCAGGGTGCGAGCTTGACTGCGTTGCTGGCTATTGGACAGTCCCTGAGTCGTTATCACTTGTGTCTTGTAATTTTATGCTGTAAAGATCAGATTCTTGTATACACAATTTGGTTTTCGGACCATGATTGAGCATTATAAATATATTTGAAATTGAGTCTTTACTGGTCGTCTGCTTATTTTGTGTTCCATATGACATCGAACTAAAATTGATTATGTATATAAATTCTCACCAAATTTCAATAATAATAAATACTAATAGGAATCAATCGGAACCGTCCACTCAAGTGGTGTTGTGTTGCAGTAATCAATAATAGGAAACAATCGAGTATCGCTTAGCTGTGTTGCTGTTTGTTATCTTTCTCCGAACCTTCTTCTCGTGTATGCTCTAAAACCGGTAGCTTCCGCAACCTATCGTACCTGGCCTGCAAAATCTAGGGAATGAACAAATGCTCTGTATTTCCATCCAATAAGAGACAAGCCCACAAAGGGCCCAGTAACAATACAGTCTATTCTAATCGATAATCTAATCCTCAAGGGTTTTTACTCTCTATCTATGGTTTTCTTCTTTCCATCTCAACTTCTTCATGGGCGATAAGAGGAAGATGCCCCACGTAATCGTTCTTCTTCTTTTTGTGATTTCTTTTTACACCAGTCGTCAACCAATTTTGAATGGATGTTTTCTGTTTTGTATGTTTTTTAGAGGATTCAGATGCCTTTGAGCGCAAGCTAAAGAAGCTCAAGAGGCGCTTGCGCAAGGAGCAGAATAAGGTTCTAAAGTCTTGTCCCTAGTACTACTATACATATAGTTGCTATTAGATCATCAGAGAAAGCGTATGATCAGTGTTTGCTGCTTCTTTTACTCAACTGTTTTCGTAATTCCATGGCAGAAAATTGATGAATTAAGTTATTCACTGAAGGAAATGGTCCAAGCTGTCAATAAACTAGAGGCTGTAGAGAAGGCATATGTGTTTTGACGCTTTTGTATTTGTTCTTGTATGTTGAGGAATGATACTTTTTACATTCAGCTATAACTTGTAGCGTTATGTAACAAGATAAAGAATTATCGTCATGGTAGAAAAAGTATTGAACGGGTATAATACAATAAGAGTTACTTAATTAAGCGAATCGAACGCCTGCAACGGGTGAGGCTACAATTGAGATGACGAGTAAAGACACATGGAATGAAGCATAATGGCCCCCAAGAATGTCAAGGACGGACCTTTGGGGAAAAAATAAAAAACACATAGACCATGGACAACCACAAGACGTCCTTTTTCCACCAAAAGTCGTATTATGAAAGTTTTATAGTCTCCGGGACGTTGGTATATTCGCATATCTTTGACAAATGCCATCATAAATGGTATAGTGTTTCTAAGTCGATCCAGCCTAGCACCTGGTGACAGATGATCAGAACTCACCCTGTTTTTGAGTTATTTGATAATGAATGTTGGATAGGTTTTGCATGACAGTTTCAACTAGGTGTGATAAGCTCTCAAGAGTCCAACTGCCCAACAATCATCTATTGAAAAGAAATAGAAACAATAAATAATATGGAAAAAGGAGCAGGAATATGAGGAGCATAAATCTTTAATTTGTATTTGTCATACAGTTTAATATTTGTCATTGATTTAATGTTTGTCTTACTTTGCAGGATGAACTTGTTTAATGTCGAAACTGGTGATGTTAAACTGTTATACATTGGACAACCTAAATGTGTTGACGCAGCTGAAATCAGTAAGATTTCTTCGTATTCAGCGCATAAAGAGCAGCCGAGTAATTTTCACGGGTCGTTGCTTGAAAATAAATGTGCTTGCAGAGAGTTTCAAGCAACTACTTCGTGAAGAATTCCAAAAATGTGGTGATGATTCAGGTGTTTTTGTTCCAACTAATGATGAAACAGGCTATTTTTATGGATAAGTTTTGATTCTGTTCTTTTTCTTCCCAACAAATTTCAAATTTATCTGTTTATTAACCTTTTTTTTTGTTCTTTCTACGGATATATATACATTCACCTTGTACCAAGCTTATACAGTTCAACATCTTTTTTTAGTCAACAAGTTCGTCTGCAAGATGCTCCTCTGCTGAAACGAAAATATCAAAATGAACTGGTATGTACATCTAATCTATGTAGACTGTTTTGTGGTATAATTTATTTTTACTTTCTTATACAGACTTAGAAAGATAATTCTTCTTAACCTTGTTTTTCTCTTTTTGTAGGTAAAGTGAAGAGTGATTTGGAAGTGGTAAACAGTTTATTACTCTCAAGTTTTAGAAATATATTTCTTATTATCTAGATTGAGATTAAGATTGACTAATCATCTTTCTATTTTTCTTTTAGCAAGGAACTTTTCTGAAAATAAACATGGAGTGAAGGTTAGCTAGATAAAAGACGCAACATCCCTCCTTGTCATAAACAAGATTTACGATATATTCTTTTCAAACTTAACAATTGTTAACATACTTGCCTATTACAATTATTAACCTTTTTCTGTTTGATTTTATAGATGATTGATGGGCAGTTGCTCTTCACAAAGCTTATATAACTCTAGTGAAAAGGTTTAAACTACTAGATGCACTAAAGCTAACTATGGATGAACTTAAAAAAGGTCTGTCTGCTTATGTGACTCGAGGTAAAGGATCGATTGAATCAAGAATGTAATACCATTTATGGAGGCATGTGGTTTTGTCAGTAATGTCATCATTCACCACCGCCCCATGGGTAACAATCTGAATAAATTTAAAGATTATGAAAGATTCATAGTAAAATTATTAGTCGAAAACAAACCATTGATGGTCTATATTAAAGCTTGCCCGAGTTTCTGCAAGTTCGATAGACATACAAATTATAAGTAATAAGTAAAAATTACCTAAGTGTAAAAAGTTGAAATAGTAAAAATTGCATTCTTCTTAATCAGTTTCACTATTCTCTTTTGCTGGACAAGTTTTGATGATTATAAGAAGAAGAAAAAACGATTATAATAGTATAAAGACTCGATAGAAAAATTGTTTTTGCACAAGTAAAGCAAATTAAATTGATTTATTCACCTCATTAAGGAATTACATTATAACATTGCCTAACTACATCCAAGCGCGACCGTTTGATATTAATTGATGTAGTAAACCTATAGAATTGCAAATCAAATATCAATAGATGAAGAATTTTATTCAAAGACTCTTTTTATTACGATGCCACTCAAGAATGACGGAATCTTTGACTATGGACAACAAGAACGTGATGGTTGTAAACGTTGTCACACAGCTCGGCTATAAGTTTCAGAATCTAACTTTAAATTATGATTTCTTATTGTTATTGAATTTTGTTCGGAAAACCATCCCTAATGCTTAGATATTCATTAAAAACCTCCCTATTATAATATTAATATATTTTATTTTGAGAATTTTTTTTCCATTTTCATTTTCCACTAATAAGAGATATTCACCAAATTTCTCATCAATATAATATTAATAATTTTATATATTTAGAGTAATTTAATTTTAGAAAATTTATTTTAATTTTTTTATAAAATCTTTTGTTAATATTTTGAAAATACCAAATTACAATTTAAATATTCTCAATTATATTTAGTTAAATATATGTTACCATTCCTCCGAACCTTCCATTCTAGCTAGAGGGTTTGGGTTTCTTTCTGGAGAGAGGCAGGCGAAGCGATTTTGTAACTCTCTCGTTTTCGACTATGGTTTCCCGGAGAGGTTCCGATACAACGGCGATTGTCTGTACCCTCACGGAAAGATTCAGAATTTCTAACTGGGTTTCGCAGCTGTCTGTCGCTAGTCTACTTGGAGTAGCTGGTCTCGTCTTTGCTCTTAAAAACGGCAGCCTAAATCTCTTCTCCGGCGCCGGAGATGATTCTTTTCTCGTACCTGGCCTGCAAAATCTCGGGAATAATTGTTTCCTCAACGTCATCCTTCAGGTATAATGCTCTGTATCTCTCAGACTATTTCCTTCTTCCTTTTTCCTGGAATCTTTGAGTTTGCTTGTAATAATCCTTTTGTTGCACATTTGGATTTGATTCTGTAGGCTCTCGCGAGCTGCAAAGATTTTCGGAGTTTTCTTCAATGGGTTATAGAGGATACAAGAGCAGGAGATGAGGACCAACACTTTCCTCTTACTTTTGCTTTGTCTACTTTACTAGAAGGTAACATTTGGAATTTCCTCTTTGCTCTCTGTATCTTGAGTTGAAAATGCTATGATAAGCTTTAATCTTTTGTGTCAATTGTTACTGCCAGAGCTCTGCACTGTGGGAAGAAGACCATCTGTATCTAGCCCTCGTAAAGTTATGCTGGCATTGGCTCATTACGTCAGAAACTTCAATCTGACTAGCCAACAGGTTATATCTCAGTTTCCGAATTTCAATTTGAGCGGATCGTCGTAATCTTCTTATGAGCTAATGATGTTGTTGAAACGTAGGACGCAGCAGAAGCTCTGCTTCATCTAATATCTTCATTGCAAGAAGAGATTGTGGTTTGCTATCGTCCTACCAAAAGTAGTAATCTTTCGGATATAATGTTTTCTCGCAACCTGAGAATGGTTGCGCCTAGTGAAGGCCTCCATGGTTTGATGGAGCTCAAGAGATGGCATAAACATCTGCGTGGACCATTCGATGGGATCCTTGGTAGCACGTTGATGTGTCGAATCTGTTCGTCTCAGGTAGCTTAATTTCCTCAACCTCAACAGTAAATCCGCTCTTGGTTTTGTTAAACTGCTTTTTTACCCATTGGATTTTTCGCAGATATCGTTGGAGTTTCAGTTTTTTCATACTCTGCCTCTTTCTCCTTTACTCCATACTGGTAGCTCCAACATTGTACGTTACGGAAGGTTCATTCTCTTATTGCTTCGTTGTTTTACATTTGTGAGTACAAAACTTCTCCAGAAAAAACATTGCTGAATAGTTTTTTTGAATGCTCTTAGATGTTAGGATGCACTTTGGAGAATTGTCTGAAGAAGTTTCTTGACGCCGAGAAAGTGGAAAACTACTTGTGCCAAAGATGCTGGCATGGTGCTGCACTGAAATTTCTATCTGTGATGAGAGCACCAGAGGTAATGAGCAGGTTTAATCGTGGTTGTAACCTTGCACATGCTTCGCGTCTCTCTCTGTCTGACGCGTCTTTACTTGAAATGGTTCAATCAGACAGATATCGAAAAGGTCAAGAGCTGTAGCAGAGACGGCGACCAATGCGAGTGTAAAACTTGTCTTCATCTTGAAAGAATGCCATGGTCAAATAGCTATTCCCATATATTGAAGCAATTATTTATCGCCCGTTTCCCAAAGGTATAATTCTTAGTCACTGAAACTAAAGTCTTGACGATATAGTCTGAGAACCCTCTCTTGCTAAAATTGTTACAGCTTCTATGCATTCAAGTGCAACGTGCTTCGCTAAACATGTTTGGAGAATCGGTCAAACTATCGGTACAGAGACTTTTGCCTCTCTGCATTTCATATCCAGAGTTGTAGTTACTACTATTCGTTCTAACTTCCAAATTATTAATGCAGGGACATATCGCATTCCCGCTTGTCCTGAACCTCTCCTTGTTCACACCGTCTTCAATAGGATTCATAGAAAAGACTCAGATGTCGTCACAAAATCCAGAAGCATCAAGAGACTGCGGCATGTATAGGCTTGTTACGGTGGTGGAACATTTTGGGAGAGCCGGAAGCGGACATTATACTGTTTATAGAAGTGTGAGAGTTGCATCACAAGAGGAAGAGGAAGAAGATTGTGATGATGATGATGATGATGATGATGATGGCCATTGCGAGGATTTGAGCTGGTTTAGTATATCTGATTCACAAGTCTCTCGAGTTTCGGAGAGTGATGTTCTTGGTGCTGAAGCCAGCGTGCTCTTCTATGAGATGCTTTAATAAAGAAGAAAATAAAAATCGGAGTTTTGTTATTTTGATTGGATTGATTCGGAATGTGTTTCTACGCTTATTTTTTGGGTTAGCTTGACAGAGTAGAAAGATAAGTGGGGTTGAACATTGAAGAGGTTTTAAAATGTGTTTATGCAACCCCCTGTAGTAGCCAAACGCTCCTTTATAAGTGTCTGTAATGTATTCATTTGGTGATAAATTGGTTGTTCAGATTCCATTTAATTTCAATCATGCCTGACCAAATCGAATAGTAACCCAATAATGTCATCATTACAATCTTTTTGTACATAAACTCATTTTTGTATCAAGTTTTCATATTTATGCAGTATTATAGAGAGTTTTTGTTACAAGTTTAAAGCTCCAGCGTCCTTCAAGAACAAAGCTCACAGATGTGAATGTGGAAGGCTTGCGGTCCCGAGAGATTTGATGGAAAGGATTAGTAAATAAAAACAGATCAAGAACACACATACACACTGCTGATTTCTTCAGATGCCAAGTTGATTAACCCTCTTTATTACTGATTAATCTTTTAGTCCCTATGAAACATTTCTGTATGAAAATTAAAACAAGAATCAATAATGAGTTTTTGTAATAAAGATATGTGATGACCCAAGAATGTTATTAGAAATGAAATCTGAAAAAAAAAAAAACGGTTCTATATTTTTTTGAGACTCGTTAATTATACATTTGGGGATTTATTAATATGTTTTACGTACCTGTGGATTTATTTATTGTACATGAGAGATTCAATGCTTTGGAAGCAATACATTCTCTTGTAAAGGCTCCATTTCCTGCAAATCTTTTACCACAGCACCGAAGCTTACGCTGTCTCCGTTAGGAAACTTTCGAGATGACGAGGATAAACCGAAATCAAATGGTCCCCGTGAGTCAGCCTGCGTTTAAGAAAGAAATCAGATATAAATTATTGCAAACCCCAAACTGTAAATATTAATTAACCTTGTTACCACACTCGTGCAGATAGAATGTGAGGTTTTACATAAATATAAACGTGAAGCGGAGACCAGACAGTTAGAAACATCACTTACCCACTTGAATCCTGAAAATCCAAGGCTGCTGTCCTGATTGAACGCCGTGGAACCAAACAACCCTTTTGCGGGTTTCGATTCATTTCTCTCTTCTGCTTCTTCACTTACCTGCCAAAATTCAAATTCCCGAGTTGCAAACTCTAAACCAATCAGAAATGCGTACTGAGAAATGAAACAACATGGCAAAAGTTTAACCTGCTCAAGAACCTTCTGTGAGGTTGTAGTACGCTTCCGAAATGAAAATGCATGGCATGTGTCTTCTGCGTCCAGTATCGAAGAATGTGACAGCTCGGGAGGAGCTCGAGGCTGTTCTGTTTGGCTCACGAAGAAAGCATCTAATGATGAGTCAGAGATCAAAGGTAACGGTTGTTGTTGTGAGACAGCTTTCCTTGTCTCCCATGTTTTCCTCCCCTCTCCTAGTGATGATGCTTGAGAAAGTAAGCCTCCATTTGGCTGATCGTTATTATTACAATGAGTTGACTCTTGCTCACGGTTAATACCGCATCTGTGTTGTAAAGATGCCTCGGAAAACAGACCCCCAATGCTTATGTTTGTTAGATTGTCTTCCCAGAGAGTTGCGTTTGCGTTCCCTCCTGAGTTTGGATTTTTAGAATGATTCCCGCAGCTTCCCTTCAAAGATACTTCTGAAAGTAAGCCGCCAATACTTAAGCTCGTTAAGCCATCATCATCCCATGAAAAAAATGTTGGGCCAGATCCATCGTTTGTCTTCTTCTCCTGGTTGAACAAAAGTAGTCATGATTCCTAGTATACAGTGACATACGATTTGAGTACAAAACAAGAGAAGAACTATCTTTACAAAACATACCGCTGATTCGACTGGTCCATCAGGAGGTGCGTTTTCAGAGGACAGGTTATCTAAACCAAACATCTCTGTTTTGTTAGTAATGACGTTTTGAGGCTCTTCATTTGGAAAACAAGTGATACGCGGAGTTGGTGGAGATGGCGGTTCATCTGTTTTATCACAAGCCTCAGAGGACCATCCATACCTAAACGAAATTAAAAGACCTCATTCATAAGACGAGGCTATGCTTAGAAAGTTGCTTTGAACAAAGTAAATAGAGAAGCACGAACCTTAAGCGGAAAAGGGAAGGAGCTCCAATGGCCACGTAGACATCGTTTGTGGTGATCTTGCTGTTTGCTGTCCATTTGTGACCACCAGAAGCGAGTACCGGTTTATCATATGGGTACAACGTGGGATCTCCCCGAGCAATCTCCGAGCTGCCCCACTTAGCGTGAATGTGTTGAAGCACAGAAGAAACCTTCTTCCTTGAGCTAAGAGTGAGCTCCAGATATGGGTGAAACCCGTCCTTACAAGGTAATGAAAATAAACAAGTTAAGAAAAACCTTCACCAAAATGAATTATTTATTAGTCCAAGTCTTGTGGTCTGGTCAGATGTCAGGCTTTACCTTTTCTAATCCTTCACGGGTACGAGAATCCAAAGGAAAGAGCTGCAACTTCATTTTTCCGGAGAGTCCAACTTCTTGAGCTCCGTCTTTGGTATTTATCGGCCTTTGTACTTGAGAAGACGGAGGAGACTCGTCTGAGCATTTTGAAGCAGCCTTCTCCTCTCTTTTACTCTTATGTTTTCCTGATAGATGAGAAGATTCAATTCATTACAATGCCAACAGATCCTTGGTAACACAGCTGAGATCAAGTGAAAATAAATTTTGAAATGATTTCGATAAGCATTTACCAGATTCATGGAATCTCTTAGTAGTCGTTTTCATACACTTGTTGGCTCTGGTGAATTTGCCTCTCGTTTTGATCTCCTTTGGGGGCTCCGTTGCAGTTTTAGTCCTCTTTCTAGCCATTCTGAGAAAAATAATTTGGAATCAGAACTCATTAGTCAAACCATACTGTTTCACAGAGACTCAAAACAGATCGGAGATTTAACCCTAGAAATCAAAGTGCCAAACGAAACTCAGAGATAATCGGAACCCTAGAAATCCAACCAGACTTCAAACCTCGATGATCCAAACGAACGAAACACCTTTACATGAAAAACAAATCAAGCAGAGGTGATTCAATACAAATCAGGACCACCAATCACAGTTAAATTTACAATCTAGAGCGAAAAATCTTCCGGTAACATCTCTAATCAAGCAACAGATAAACGATCGGTGGAGAAGAGTCAAAATAAGCAAGAATCGGGAATTGAAAAAGACGATTCAAAATCACCAACCTCGTCTATTATCGACTCTGGGGCGCGAGAGAAAAAGCTTACACGGAGCTATCAGATGAAGAATCTGTCGAGAGAAGTAGATCGACGAATCAGACGAAAATCGCCAAGAACAGAGAGTGGCGGGAATGTTTTGGATGAAAATGTTAGAAATAAATTCCTCCCTCCATTGGCTTTCCATATTACCGTCGTTCTGCAGAAATTTGTATGTGGGCTTAAACGCGTGGCTCGTTTATATGTGGGCTTAAACGTATGGCCCATTAGTCGATATTTCAGTAGGATAACTTGTTGAACATCTAAGCTAGACAAAAATCGATTAAGAATCTTTATTACTTGGCTGCTCAAAACATATCAGGATTGAGAATTAAAAGATATCAAAATGTATCATTAACCGATTTTTATAACCTTGTTAATACCAAACCGAAATATGTTTCATCCTTAACAGTATTTTGTAACTAAATACATGCTTATAATGTTTCAAAAATCAAAGTAGAATGTTAGCTACTTGACACAACAAAAGCTGCTTCACACTTTGACCAACTAAGAAGGAAAATAAAGGAGATCAGAAAGATGTATTGCAAAGTCATATGAGTTTCTTTCGCCATAATCTAAGTTTTTAACTATTTTCTGTCTTCACTATCTGAAATTGATTTTTGTCAAAGTATCAATACGACGTCATTGTCAAAAAAATCATCTTCATAGTCATGGCTTTTGTTTTTATACGCTTTATTCAATACGAATAAATACACTTGGTTGCAATTCATTTCAAGTTTTCAATGATCAATCATAGTTTATTTTGCCGACCAATGTATTATCAAATTCGGTCTGGAAACAGGTAAAAAAAATACTAGGATAGAAGCTCAAAACCCTCTGCTCTATGAAAATCATTTTGACATAGTTTTTAGGAACAGGTTTCGATAAATAAAATAAAAATATACAAAATCACTTATCGAACAAAATGTTAAGAAAATCGATTTCTAACTTTTATTAAAAAGAATAATATTGCACGTGAACTGAAACTCTTACCATGAAAAGAAAAAACAGTTCACATGAAAACCATCGAATAACGACAATAAGAGTGGGATACTTAACGGAGCTAGAAAACACCGAATTTTAATTTGATATAAATAAATAAAGTATATAGAAACTCACAAGAAAAGTAGTCTTTTTGGATCTTTAACCAAACGGAACCTCTGTCTTTATTTTTGGTTTGTCCCCTCCTTGTCCTTTTGTCCATTAGAAAATTGGTCACGCCTTTTTAGTTCCATACTTCTCGTTTCCATCTCTCTACTCTATAGTTTTTCCTTCTTTTCCAACACATTAATGTTTCAAATTTCTATTTTTGTTCGACAACTTTTAAATTTGTGTATGAATCCCACAGAGCCACCGCTAATTAAGATATATTTTTCATATTTACACTGGTGTTAATATAGCCTCGAAACATAGGGGTTGCATCCACGTTTATAAGCAACATTAAATTTAACAAAGGAAATTAATTCTAATTCTAAGTTAATTTATTCCTCCATTAGAGCCAGTTTTAGTTGTGTTGTGCCTCACACTATTAAATATTTAATCAATAATGAATAATAAATCGAGGTAGAAAAGACCGTAAGAAAGTTATCAAGAAGGCTGTAAGTTTTGTTATCTCTATTTATACCACCAAACAAAATCTGGAACCATTTGTCCTTTTTACACCAATCTTTAACCATTTTTAGTTAAACGTTTTTGAAGAAGCAAGTGAAATCTTTTCTTCCATTTATATTATACATGTTTTTTCAAGTTTCTCGATGTTAATCATAGGTGTAATTTAATTTTCGTGAATATTAAGTTATTTAGCTTTGTGTTATGTTATTTAATTTGCTAATATTTGTTTTTTTTTTTAAATAAAAAGAGAAAAGATTCTTCTCTGTTAGTCTCAGTACTCTCTCATAAATGGCAAACAGGAGACTCTCAGGGGAAGTCCATAACTGAAAAGAAAAAAAAAGGAAAAAAATCAAATAACGGAAGAGAGAAATTAATAATATCACTCGGAAATCCCACAGATTCCCTCTCTCTCAATTCATGTTAATTTAGCCCTTATTTGACTTCGTCGTCTTCTTCCGCCGCCGTAAGACGCCGCCTCGGCAGTAACAGCAACCGCCGTGGTGTTTGTCGTCTTCGAAGGTTCGTTTCTCTCCCTTGTCTGGTAAAAAAATATGTTCTCTCTCGTGAAGATTCGGTTTTACTTCGGAGACCTTTTTCTTAAAATTTGATTGGTTAATTTTGTCTGATCTTGTGCTACTTCACAAATTCCTGGGTTGTTTCCGATTAAAATTCGTGAGAAAATGTTCAATCATCTGTCTGAGGTCATATGAGTATTGGATCTGATTTGAGTTTTATAGTTAGAGCTATGTTCATGTTGGAGCTTTGGTATATCGGAAATTCCTTCGATCGTTTCGGCTTTCTCTGGATCTGAAGCATTTTAGATCGTGAAATTGTGAAAATCGATCTAGAAACAGCTAAAAAATCGTTTTTTTCTCCATTGCGATTTTGATTATTTACAATTGAGATTGCCGGGGATGGATCATAAGATCTACTTTGATTACACTCCCTTTATGTGGTGATTCCTCGACAAATCAGCTCTAATTTGAAGATTGAAATACGCAGAGATCTGATTTGATCCGTTGAAAAAATAAAAAAAATGACTGCAACGAGCAAGACGGATCAAAAAGCGGCTTTAGACATTGCATCATGGCTATTCAATGTTGTTACTTCCGTCGGAATCATCCTCGTTAACAAAGCCTTAATGGCTACTTACGGCTTTAGTTTCGGTGAGTCTTATCAACGCACTCTTTTTGTTTTTGGATTTTCACCATCCCTTCAAAATAAGCTAACGGTGTTGACTTGAAACTGATTAAGATCTCTTTCTGATTCCGACGCAGCTACGACGTTAACCGGTCTGCATTTCGGAACAACGACATTGTTGACGACTCTCTTGACATGGCTTGGTTATATCCAACCTTCCCAGCTTCCCTGGCCCGATCTTTTGAAATTCGTTTTGTTCGCTAACTTCTCAATCGTTGGGATGAACGTGAGCCTCATGTGGAATTCTGTCGGATTCTACCAGGTCAGTATTTTTTTTTTTTTTTTTAAACTGTTTCTTGGAGTGTAAATTCCTTCGGGCAAATCTTGAAACGACGGTGTTGAAAATTGCAGATTGCGAAGCTGAGTATGATCCCAGTTTCTTGTCTGCTAGAAGTTTTCCTTGACAATGTCAGGTACTCAAGAGATACGAAGCTTAGCATTTTGTTAGTTCTTGCTGGTGTTGCCGTCTGTACTGTAACCGATGTTAGTGTCAATCTCAACGGGTTTCTCGCTGCCGCTATTGCTGTCTGGAGCACCGCGCTTCAGCAATACGTAACTATCCTACGCCTCAAATCTAATCCATTGTCACATTTGGAACAGATCTTGGTCTAAACTCATCCCGTTATTCTGAAATCTGATTTCTAAACATTTGCTACTATCCTGTGCAGTATGTACATTATCTACAACGGAAATATTCGCTCGGTTCTTTCAATTTACTGGCGCATACCGCTCCAGTGCAAGCTGCATCGCTGTTGTTGGTCGGACCATTTCTAGATTACTGGTTGACTAACCAAAGAGTGGATGCATTCAACTTTTCATTTGTATCACTGGTAAAAGTTTCTCCTCTGCTTCTTTATAAAGTCTTCTGTGTAGCTTCTAAAGATGCATATGCTCCACTCTAAATTCAAAACCGATGAGAGTCTAGAACATAGTGGTAGTAGTCATACCAATTTGCATTTATTCAGTTTTGCAGAGCTGATGATAATCGATTAGGCTCTTGATTGTTGTTAGATCTTGTCTTTCCTGAGCTCTGTCTAACACAATTTCTTTGGCAGTTCTTCTTAATACTCTCGTGCAGTATCGCGGTCGGGACCAATCTCAGCCAGTTCATATGTATCGGAAGATTCACGGCGGTGTCTTTCCAAGTACTTGGTCACATGAAGACAATTCTGGTTTTGGTTTTGGGATTCACTTTCTTTGGTAAGGAAGGTCTTAACCTACAAGTAGTACTTGGAATGCTTATTGCGATCCTTGGAATGATCTGGTACGGCAACGCATCTTCTAAACCGGGCGGCAAAGAGCGTCGAAGCCTCTCTATTCCTATAACAAAGGCACAGAAACTCATCGGTTTGTCTGAAACAACCGAATCTGATGAAAAGGTCTAAAAGAAACAAGTAATCGCATTGACATAGAAACAAACAAAAAACAAGAAACTCAGATACAAAACAGGTAGACAGTATCAAGTGGGATCCTTATAAACAAAATGTTTTTAGTTACTTAATTCCCAAAACTATATTTTTCTTTTCTTACAGAGCTTTTGTTTTCTGCATTTTTTATTTTTGGTTAATCCTTTTTTGGCCTTTGCATTTTGCATCTTTTTTTTTTTTGCCTAATTCTCCCAAAAGAAACATCATCCCATACGACTGATAATAAAATCTCAATTTTTATTTTTATGCTAAATTTTGTCCTTTTACTATTTATTATTGCCACCTGCAACATCCACTTCTGTAGGTTTTTATTTTGTAACGTGAATAATTAATCTTCGGTCCACGAGTTTTCAGTTTTTCA